CATGTTACATATGACACATGGGGACTGTGGTTACTACACAATGTTCTATATGTTACATATGTTGTACATATGTGCACAATGGGGTATGTGGACTATGTTCCTATGTTACATATGTTTATGCACATATGGGGATGTGGACTATGTTCCTATGTTACATATGACACAATGGGGATGTGGACTATGTTCCTATGTTACATATGGCACAATGGGGATGTGGACTATGTTCCTATGTTACATATGGCACAATGGGGATGTGGACTATGTTCCTATGTTACATATGGCACAATAGGGATGTGGACTATGTTCCTATGTTACATATGGCACAATGAGGATGTGGACTATGTTCCTATGTTACATATGGCACAGTGATGATGTGGACTATGTTCCTTTGTTACATATGGCACAGTGTGGATGTGGACTATGTTCCTTTGTTACATATGGCACAATGGGGATGTGGACTATGTTCCTATGTTACATATGGCACAATGGGGATGTGGACTATGTTCCTATGTTACATATGGCACAGTGGGGATGTGGACTATGTTCCTATGTTACATGTGGCACAATGGGGTTCTGGACTATGTTCCTATGTTACATATGACACAATGGGGATGTGGACTATGTTCCTATGTTACATATGGCACAATGGGGATGTGGACTGTGTTCATATGTTACATATGACACAATGGGGATGTGGACTATGTTCCTATGTTACATATGGCACAATGGGGTTCTGGACTATGTTCCTTTGTTACATATGACACAATGGGGATGTGGACTATGTTCCTATGTTACATATGGCACAATGGGGTTCTGGACTATGTTCCTATGTTACATATGACACAATGGGGATGTGGACTATGTTCCTATGTTACATATGACACAATGGGGATGTGGACTATGTTTCTATGTTACATATGGCACAATGGGGTTCTGGACTATGTTCCTATGTTACATATGACACAATGGGGATGTGGACTATGTTCCTATGTTACATATGGCACAATGGGGTTCTGGACTATGTTCCTATGTTACATATGACACAATGGGGATGTGGACTATGTTCCTATGTTACATATGGCACAATGGGGATGTGGACTGTGTTCCTATGTTACATATGACACAATGGGGATGTGGACTATGTTCCTATGTTACATATGGCACAATGGGGATGTGGACTATGTTCCTATGTTACATATGGCACAGTGGGGGTGTGGACTATGTTCCTATGTTACATATGGCACAATGGGGTTCTGGACTATGTTCCTATGTTACATATGGCACAATGGGGATGTGGACTATGTTCCTATGTTACATATGGCACAGCGATGATGTGGACTATGTTCCTTTGTTACATATGGCACAGTGGGGATGTGGACTATGTTCCTTTGTTACATATGGCACAATGGGGATGTGGACTATGTTCCTATGTTACATATGGCACAATAGGGATGTGGACTATGTTCCTATGTTACATATGGCACAGTGGGGATGTGGACTATGTTCCTATGTTACATATGGCACAATGGGGTTCTGGACTATGTTCCTATGTTACATATGACACAATGGGGATGTGGACTATGTTCCAATGTTACATATGGCACAATGGGGATGTGGACTATGTTCCTATGTTACATATGGCACAATGGGGATGTGGACTATGTTCCTATGTTACATATGACACAATGGGGATGTGGACTATGTTCCTATGTTACATATGACACAATGGGGATGTGGACTATGTTCCTATGTTACATATGGCACAATCGGGATTTGGACTATGTTCCTATGTTACATATGGCAGAGTGGGGATGTGGACTATGTTCCTATGTTATATATGGCACAATGGGGATGTAGACTATGTTCCTATGTTACATATGGCACAGTGGGGATGTGGACTATGTTCCTTTGTTACATATGGCACAGTGGGGATGTGGACTATGTTCCTTTGTTACATATGGCACAATGGGGATGTGGACTATGTTCCTATGTTACATATGGCACAGTGGGGATGTGGACTATGTTCCTTTGTTACATATGGCACAATGGGGATGTGGACTATGTTCCTATGTTACATATGACACAATGGGGATGTGGACTATATTCCTTTGTTACATATGGCACAATGGGGATGTGGACTATGTTCCTATGTTACATATGGCACAATGGGGATGTGGACTATGTTCCTATGTTACATATGGCACAATGGGGATGTGGACTATGTTCCTATGTTACATATGACACAATGCGGATGTGGACTATGTTCCTTTGTTACATATGGCACAATGGGGATGTGGACTATGTTCCTATGTTACATATGACACAATGGGGATGTGGAGTATGTTCCTTTGTTATATATGGCACAATGGGGATGTGGACTATGTTCCTATGTTACATATGGCACAATGGGGTTCTGGACTATGTTCCTGTGTTACATATGACACAATGGGGATGTGGACTATGTTCCTATGTTACATATGGCACAATGGGGTTCTGGACTATGTTCCTATGTTACATATGACACAATGGGGATGTGGACTATGTTCCTATGTTACATATGGCACAATGGGGTTCTGGACTATGTTCCTATGTTACATATGGCACAATGGGGATGTGGACTATGTTCCTATGATACATATGGCACAATGGGGATGTGGACTGTGTTCCTATGTTACATATGACACAATGGGGATGTGGACTATGTTCCTATGTTACATATGGCACAATGGGGATGTGGACTATGTTCCTATGTTACATATGGCACAGTGGGGGTGTGGACTATGTTCCTATGTTACACATGGCACAATGGGGTTCTGGACTATGTTCCTATGTTACATATGGCACAATGGGGATGTGGACTATGTTCCTATGTTACATATGGCACAGTGATGATGTGGACTATGTTCCTTTGTTACATATGGCACAGTGGGGATGTGGACTATGTTCCTTTGTTACATATGGCACAATGGGGATGTGGACTATGTTCCTATGTTACATATGGCACAATGGGGATGTGGACTATGTTCCTATGTTACATATGGCACAGTGGGGATGTGGACTATGTTCCTATGTTACATATGGCACAATGGGGTTCTGGACTATGTTCCTATGTTACATATGACACAATGGGGATGTGGACTATGTTCCAATGTTACATATGGCACAATGGGGATGTGGACTATGTTACTATGTTACATATGGCACAATGGGGATGTGGACTATGTTCCTATGTTACATATGACACAATGGGGATGTGGACTATGTTCCTATGTTACATATGACACAATGGGGATGTGGACTATGTTCCTATGTTACATATGGCACAATCGGGATTTGGACTATGTTACATATGGCAGAGTGGGGATGTGGACTATGTTCCTATGTTATATATGGCACAATGAGGATGTAGACTATGTTCCTATGTTACATATGGCACAGTGGGGATGTGGACTATGTTCCTTTGTTACATATGGCACAGTGGGGATGTGGACTATGTTCCTTTGTTACATATGGCACAATGGGGATGTGGACTATGTTCCTATGTTACATATGGCACAGTGGGGATGTGGACTATGTTCCTTTGTTACATATGGCACAATGGGGATGTGGACTATGTTCCTATGTTACATATGACACAATGGGGATGTGGACTATATTCCTTTGTTACATATGGCACAATGGGGATGTGGACTATGTTCCTATGTTACATATGGCACAATGGGGATGTGGACTATGTTCCTATGTTACATATGGCACAATGGGGATGTGGACTATGCTCCTATGTTACATATGACACAATGCTGATGTGGACTATGTTCCTTTGTTACATATGGCACAATGGGGATGTGGACTATGTTCCTATGTTACATATGACACAATGGGGATGTGGAGTATGTTCCTTTGTTATATATGGCACAATGGGGATGTGGACTATGTTCCTATGTTACATATGGCACAATGGGGATGTGGACTATGTTCCTATGTTACATATGGCACAATAGGGATGTGGACTATGTTCCTATGTTACATATGGCACAATGGGGATGTAGACTATGTTCCTATGTTACATATGACACAATGGGGATGTGGACTATGTTCCTATGTTACATATGGCACAGTGGGGATGTGGACTATGTTCCTATGTTACATATGACACAATGGGGATGTAGACTATGTTCCTATGTTACATATGGCACAATGGGGTTATGGACTATGTTCCGATGTTACATATGACACAATGGGGATGTGGACTATGTTCCTATGTTACATATGGCACAATGGGGATGTGGACTATGTTCCTATGTTACATATGGCACAGTGGGGATGTGGACTATGTTCCTATGTTACATATGGCACAATGGGGTTCTGGACTATGTTCCTATGTTACATATGACACAATGGGGATGTGGACTATGTTCCTAGGTTACATATGGCACAGTGGGGATGTGGACTATGTTCCTATGTTACATATGGCACAATGGGGTTCTGGACTATGTTCCTATGTTACATATGGCACAATGAGGTTGTGGACTATATTCCTATGTTACATATGGCACAATGGGGATGTGGACTATGTTCCTATGCTACATATGGCACAATGGGGATGTGGACTATGTTCCTATGTTACATATGGCACAATGGGGATGTGGACTATGTTCCTATGTTACATATGGCACAATGGGGATGTGGACTATGTTCCTATGCTACATATGGCACAATGGGGATGTGGACTATGTTCCTATGTTACATATGGCACAATGGGGATCAGGACTATGTTCCTATTGGATTCTCATCCGTCTTCTTGAGTCACTGACTGCTGATCTTTCATCGTACAATAACACTGGAAGGAACAAGCAACTTTTTCTTTTTAGTTATTGTCCCCTGTATTTCTGCGGACTCTCCAATGGTTGAAAGAGTTCAGGGTTAAACGTGAGGCTTCACAATGATTCCAGTGAAACAACCCGGTGGTCAGTAACACTTGATATTCTTGATATTTTCAGGCTGTGGAATCGCTGATGTCCCGACGGTGTCGTTGCCATGGAGTTTCTGGTTCCTGTGCTGTAAAGACCTGCTGGCGTGGGCTCCCGACTTTTAAGGAAATCGGCCTCTATCTTAAAGATAGTTACGAAAGATCTGTCCGACTAGCCGGCCGGGCCAAAAGGAAGCTGCGAAGAAAAGACAAGTCCAAACGACGGCTGCCCATCACCGATCAGGAGCTGGTGCATCTCAGCAAATCGCCAAACTACTGCAACAGCAACAAAAAACGGGGAATTCTGGGCACCTCGGGCCGAGTGTGTAACAGAACATCGTACGGAGCAGATAGCTGCGACTTGCTGTGTTGTGGGAGAGGCTACAACACACAAGTGGTGCGGCATGTTGAACGATGTCATTGCAAATTTCACTGGTGTTGCTATGTGGAATGCAAGACATGCGAGACTTTGATAGATGTCCATACGTGTAAATAGCTGCACCTATTTTCTCTAGATTTCCAGAATAGTTGTGTAAATAATCCCGTAAAGTTACTAATATTATGCAGCAAACTCCTGTGTGATCAGCGTGGAATTTGCAGAACCTCTATGTTTGGTGGACACAATGGTGTACCCTACTCACTGAGTATTCATAGAAATCGTTGACGTCGAGGTTTGGTGCAACCAAAGCGATGATGGGTGAACAGTTATGGTTTCTAAGAAACAACAGTTTCAACGAATAATGAAGAATGCACTAATAAATCAGTGACATTTCCCACCATTAAAACAAGTGACTCGTGTGTACTTCATTGACCTGAGTATGGAGCGGGCAGTCAAAATGGAACAGTCTCGCTGGAAAAAAAAAGGCACAAAAATCGACGCTCGATTGTTAAAAAAAAAAAATAACTGTATATCTCGGGTATACAGGGATGTAGTTTGTTTACTGTGATGTTCACTTCAGTGTCAAACTTTGTTAAACACAAAACCGACAGAAGTTAACTATCAGTGCTGAGTCTGTGTACTGTTCTATTTCTGTGCGAGGACGTACGTGTGATTTTAACTACAGCAGACGACTTCCGGAAGGTACCGGAAGAAGTGAAAGTGCGAACTGATATACGGATTTTATAATGGATATTAACTACACAAATAGAACATGTTATGATAATACAGAACTACAATCAAAGGTGTTGTAGCAGTATGTCTTCACTGATAACAAAAACACAAATAAGTTAACCATGTTGAAGTTACGTTTAGGCTTTTTTTTTTTTTTAAGCTTAATGAACCCAGTGCAAAAATATGATTAGAAAGCTGAACATTAGGGGAACAAAAGACTCATTCAGGTACAACAGAAAGTTTCCTTCAAAATCTTTATCAACAAAAAAAGAATACCGCATACACTGCACAATAAAAACTAAATATCACGAAGCAAGCGATCCCGATAGCTAACTTGTTCAGTAGTTTTTTATATACCTCCTTCCATCCCGATATGTTTAGCTCAAAGGCAATCTATACTTAGGTCTGAGGGAATAGAACACGCAAAGTATGGAGCAAAAACCGTTACACTAATAATTCAGAAGTTTATTCTTCTTCTTCTTCTTCTTCTGCTTCTTCTTCTTCTTCTTCTTCTTCTTCTTCTTCTTCTTCTTCTTCTTCTTCTTCTTCTTCTCTTCTTCTTCTTCTTCTTCTTCTTCTTCTTCTTCTTCTTCTTCTTCTTCTTCTTCTTCTTCTTCTTCTTCTTCTTCTTCTTCTTCTTCTTCTTCTTCTTCTTCTTCTTCTTCTTCTTCTTCTTCTTCTTCTTCTTCTTCTTCTTCTTCTTCTTCTTCTTCTTCTTCTTCTTCTTCTTTGTCTTCTTCTTCTTCTTCTTCTTCTTCTTCTTCTTCTTCTTCTTCTTCTTCTTCTTCTTCTTCTTCTTCTTCTTCTTCTTCTTCTTCTTCTTCTTCTTCTTTCTTCTTCTTCCTCTTCTTCTTCTTTTCTTCTTCTTTTTCTTCTTCTTCTTCTTCTTCTTCTTCTTCTTCTTCTTCTTCTTCTTCTTCTTCTTCTTCTTCTTCTTCTTCTTCTTCTTCTTCTTCTTCTTCTTCTTCTTCTTCTTCTCTTCTTCTTCTTCTTCTTCTTCTTCTTCTTCTTCTTCTCTTCTTCTTCTTCTTCTTCTTCTTCTTCTTCTTCTTCTTCTTCTTCTTCTTCTTCTTCTTCTTCTTCTTCTTCTTCTTTTTTTTTTTCTTCTTCTTCTTCTTCTTCTTCTTCTTCTTCTTCTTCTTCTTCTTCTTCTTCTTCTTCTTCTTCTTCTTCTTCTTCTTCTTCTTCTTCTTCTTCTTCTCCTATTTTTCTTCTTATTCTTCTTCTTCTCATATTTTCTTCTTCTTCTTCTTCTTTTTCTTCTTTTTCTTATTCTTCTTTTTTTATTCTTCTTCTTTTTCTTCATCTTCTTCTTCTTCTTCTTCTTCTTCTTCTTCTTCTACCCTACCCCTAAAGAAGCCTATGCCCACAACTGACTTATGCTGTATCGCCCTATTCTATGCTATTTCATGCAACTCATTCCATGATCTCCCTGTCATTCAAACTTCCCTCTGTAGCTCTCTTCTCTTTTTTTTTTCTACTTTTCTTTTATATGCCACTGCGGGGTTTCAGCCCAAAGACATTCTAGTTGTCATGATCTCAGGTTTTCTCAAAGTTTGTTCTCTCCAACGCCACTGTCTTTTTTCACCAATTCATTATTTAGTTTTTCCCAAAGCTCAATGCTAGTGATTATATCATACCCTTTAATTGTCTCTATTTTCAACAGGCAGCAGTCCATGAATGTTTGTTGTTTATTAATAATTGTTTTAGTTGTTCTCAGTATTTCCGCTCCATACAACAGTACTGATTTCACATTAGAAATACAATCTTTCTTTCTTTTTTTTTATTATTATTAGTTATACTGTCTTGGGACCTCGACAAATTTCCTATTGCTATGTAAAACTCTTGCCTTTTCTTTCTTATTTTCATCTCTCTATCAATTCAAATACACGGAAATACTGCAGCAGCTAACTGTTACATAAAGACGGTAAACAATTATCTTTGCAATGAACAAGAAACTGTTTAGTACTAACAGTCTTAAAGATGACCTTCCTGTGTTGACGTTTCCATCAAGGTAAAGGAAAAGTTGATATGATCAACTTTATTGCACTGGGTTTTATCCCATATGGCTCAGTCTCTCTCCACAGAACAGCCAGCTGCCATTTGAGAACTTCAGATAAGCACTTCCGTAGCTCCGGCGACGATCTCCAATGACCTCAATGAAAACTGCACTCAACTAAACGGCGCAGCCAGGAAGTGAACACACTACCTTCAGAACGCGAGGCAAACGTCTTGACCACGGAGAACCGTACCCTTAAATGTTATGTAGAATTCTAATATCATTGTTTAATAAAGAATTTCGTCAGAATCTACGCCTGTATCCGTCCTGCCTCTCGTCTTTGTCTTGTTTGAGCCTCCTGATTATAGTGTTTAGGATCGGCTGGCCGAACGGTTAGAACGCTGGGCGCTCAAGCTGGAGACCCGTGTTCGAATCCTCGGTAAGGCTGGGGATTTTTTCTGTCGGGGGCAAAACAAAAACATCACCTGCACAGTCGTGGCGACAGCACTAGCCAGGTGGCCGTAAATCCTTAGGCTCAAAGACTCCCCACCCCCGCTGACACCACAAAAGTGGTATAATAACGGCAGTAATTGGCAAGTGATATCGTTTTGTGTTACAATCGTGCACGTCTCAGTGTCCTTCTTGGTGCAGTCGTGCCTCTTTTCAGCGTCTTTTTAAAAGAAATGTAAGTGTATTTTAATAGTTACTCATAGAAATAATTTATTGATTGGCTACATCTATCCTGGGAAGTGTAGGCGACAGGCATGATGTTGACAACATCGACTATCCAGTGTCGATTGCTTTTTAAAAACGAGTCTAGCACCATATGGCGGATGGCTTCAAAAAGGGCCCTTGACTGAGGCCGATGGCAGAATGTAAGGTCAGTAAAATAAAGGGCCCCTGAATGAGGCCGATAACAGAATGTAAGGTCAGTAAAATAAAGGGCCCTTGACTGAGGCCGATAACAGAATGTAAGGTCAGTAAAATAAAGGGCCCTTGACTGAGGCCGATAACAGAATGTAAGGTCAGTAAAGTAAAGGGCCCTTGACTGAGGCCGATAGCAAAATGTAAGGTCAGTAAAATAAAGGGCCCTTGACTGAGGCCGATAACAGAATGTAAGGTCAGTAAAAAAAAGGGCCCTTGACTGAGGCCGATAACAGAATGTAAGGTCAGTAAAATAAAGGGCCCTTGACTGAGGCCGATAACAGAATGTAAGGTCAGTAAAATAAAGGGCCCTTGACTGAGGCCGATAACAGAATGTAAGATCAGTAAAATAAAGGGCCCTTGACTGAGGCCGATAACAGAATGTAAGGTCAGTAAAGTAAAGAGCCCTTGACTGGGGCCGATAACAGAATGTAAGGTCAGTAAAATAAAGGGCCCTTGACTGAGGCCGATAACAAAATGTAAGGTCAGTAAAATAAAGGGCCCTTCACTGAGGCCGATAACAGAATGTAAGGTCAGTAAAGTAAAGGGCCCTTGTCCACGCCTTCAGGCGTCCTGGGCGTATAGGGCTAGACCTATATTTTATAGAACAATCAGCCTTTGGTTGTGATATGGTCAGCATCAGGCCGACCCCCTTTACTTCCCAGGACTTTACTTGTTACCCATTTAAGGCTGGGTCAGTCTAGGAGCCAAGGTCATGTTTTATTAAAGGTCAGAATCTGAACCCACGAGCTGCAGACAGGCAGGTCAGCGTCTAGCCGCTACACCACCGCGGCTTTAGGACATAATGTACTAGCACCTAATGTTATTTGCGTATCCTTTACAGGACGTTGCAGAACCAACAGCAACAGCCCCTGGCTGTTGTGTGGGTTTTTCTAGGCAAATTTACTCCTACTAGTTTGCCATTGCCACTGGACGGTCGGCTTTCTTAATACCACTGTCGAAACCAACGCAAGGCGCATGGCCTGCAGCTGGGATCGAGCCTGGCATCTCGGGATTACTAAGCGTTCGCATCGACTTAGCCACAGAGCCGACACTAGCACTTAATACACAGAAATAATATGGGAAACCCCAAGAAATAATACATAAAATTAACAAATTGACAGTGTTTGGATCGGCACTCATAGAAAGAAGTAGAAAGATGGAAAACACACTAGAGAACCTTTAAATTGAAAGTTATGGTTAGCGAGCAGGGAATGGAACCGGTCATCTCTTAATGACGACAGCTCCTCACTGCATACAAACTTATGACCAATTATCGGTCTACTTCTTTCTATAAGTGCCGATCAATGCATTGTCTGTTTTACATATATACATATATATAATGTACCTGCAGCAAATACGTGAAGCTGCACATTATGGTGCCAAAGTTGTTAACATAATTGTTTGCCATTATTATTATCATCATTATTACATTCTGTTCGACAGACACATACATTTTCAC